AATTTTATTTAGTAGTCTTGAGGGAGAGATGTCAGTCATATTTGAAATCAGAATTTATTTTAAGTTGAATGTTTGAGGCAGCAATTTACCATTTACCACAATAAGAATTGAATTGACCAAATACGATACGATAGCACATTTGCTAAATTTGATCAAATTAGTGTTTGTTTCGTAAGGAGTTCATAAATCATTATTTAATCTGTTAAAATAACTACTTTTACTAACAGTGAGAAGTACAGTCACAATCTGCTTATATTTCTTTGTTCCTCCAGTAGTGGATAGAAAAAAAATTAATTGTCAGCTTTCATCAGTAACTGCTTCACTAATGTAGTTAAAATTAATGGTTGTAAACGGGTTAAATTGGGATTTGTTATGTGGGGGGCTCTGGTTTCAGGCTTTTAAGGGCTGCACATGTGTATGCAAAGCTTACAAAATCTTATAAATATAACAAGTTAAGAGAGCCCCCTGCTATGAACACTAAAATGCTGATCAGAATCATTCTTGATGCTGGCAGTGTGCAAAGCTACATCTGATGACAATGAAATCAGTGCTTTAAGTTTTCAGGTAGGTCTAACGGTAATATTCAGGTACAGAAATGCTACAGAATTTGACTTAAAGTAATCAAGTGTAAAATAAACTGGATAGTCTCCACTGTATAAATGAATACAGATGAAACCTTACAATTAAAGTTACAAAAGTCAGTTAAGAGCAGTGAGTGATTTTCTCAGACTTTTGTTGTTTGGTTAACATTGACAGAGACCGCAGTCAGTTTAATAGACTGCTGTCTCTTTACAACCGACGGCACTGATCTAATATACTGTTACACATGCGTTTTCTTTCTCAGTTGTTTACGTTCACTGAAGATATAACGGACTGTGTTTACGTTAATGCTCACCAAGACGGGTATTTTGACATAGTTTGTATGTATCAGAACATTTACACAATAAGCTGCGAAAAAGAACTCAATTCTGTACTCGCGCTGTATGAGAAGCTGCTTTATGTGTGCGCCTTTTGGGTGTGTGCTTACTGTAAAGCGTTTCAGAAAGTGTGCGAGTATTGAACTGAGTACTCTTTTGCTGCTTATTGTGCTTGAATGGTTTAAAAACCATGAATGCTCAGCCCTGGCCCATTTTAGCCTCTAGTTGTAAAACACTTTTAACTGTTCAACTGGCCCCCAGTTAATATCCGTTTGAGATCACGGATTTAAACCTTATAATTGAAGGCGATTTCTAAAAGCATTACTAGCCAACTGTCCAGTAACTTGTATTTGTTTGCCAAACTAATTGACCTAAGCATTTGGCACTTTGCAAGGGTTGATTTTGGATGAACGCACTAGTGTTTAACAGCACTGTTGTTGATCACTGTCAACATGACTGTTGATGACTGTCGATAGAAAATCAGCATCTCATAGAAATTTAGTTGTAATTTATGCATGCTGACATTACTGATGCTTTAAGATTTGAGGACAAATATCATTGTATTAATCATATAATGTGCCATTTCAGGCATATGTTGTGGAGGACAACAAACAGCTGATTTTAGAGGGGCAGCTTCATGTTGCACTGCAAACCATTGGCAAAGAGTCCTGCTCACTCTCGCAGAAAGAGGTACTACACATCCACATGATCTCACAATGACTCTCTCTTGTTCAGCTCTTTTCATGTGGGTGCGTTATAAATACATAAATGCAGAGTCACTCTATAAAGAATATAGAGTCACTTCCTCTAGTGGAAGAGACCACTGTATCTTTTCAATGAGACTTGGTAAGTGTATACTTGAGCAAATAATATTTTGTGTATGTGTTTTGAAGTGTCCGTTATTGATAGACCAAGATGACTTCATCTTAATACACTCAGGTTAACCACTCAATTAGCTGAACACAAAATTATTTTTTTGCTTGTAGCATTCAGTGTGTTAGTAAAATACCCCTCATGGGAAAGAGCCTGAACTCATAACAATCCTCTGAACAGATGTTTTAACCTTAATATGCAAATGTTAAGTTTGCAAGTGTCTTATTCAACCTGCAGCAGTCAATCACGCTCGATAGCATGGATGTTAATTTTAGTGAATTCATTCATCACCGACTGGCTGTGGCAGACGTTAACTCAAGAAAAAGCATTGATAATGCACTTGAGCATTGAACAAAAACACTGAAGTGCCCACTAAATGCATGCTTTTTCGGGCATTCTATTCTGATTAAATAAATCAGAGATCAGGCCAGCATATGGTGTAAAGAGGTCAAAATGATTTTAATTCAGGGCTGTGTTTATCTCTCACTGTAGCTCAAGTAATGGACATCTGTTGACACTCTCACTGCAAGTCGCTTTTATGTGTGTCAGAGCCTTGATGCTTTTGCAGGGCATGGGAAGTTATAAAGGCACTTTGAAGATTGTGAGAAACTAATAAATTTCAGGCTCCTGACCTTGCTGTATGGGGAAAGGTGTACGTGTCCTCTGACTTTTTTTATGAAGAATGGTAAAGGTTGGAAGGAAGGATTCTTTGGTGCTCACTGCTCAGGGATGGATAAAATGAAGATGGACCTTGAGACTCATCAGTGTGTGTGATTTTATTGGAGACCTGGATACGTCTTCTGGAGGCCAAAAAAGTAGTACACTACATTGACGTAAACAATCAAAGGGTTAATTTTTCATTGCTGTCCAAGGATTTCTTTTTGTCGTAGAACATTTGTAATGTTCAGTGTGTGGTCCCATGCTTCTATTATACAAGACTGATATCACAGCGTATTAAAGGGATAATTCACCTAAAAATGAAAATGGTCATCATTTACTCACCTTCATTTCTTTCCAAACCTGTATGAATTTCCTTCGTTTCTGAAACACAAATGAAGCTATTTTTTAATGAAACCTGAGAAATTTCTGTTCCACCATTTCAAAGTCCACACAACCAAAACGTTGACGCTTCAAAAAGTTCATAAAGACATTGTAAAACTAATCCATGTGAATTAAGCGGTTTAATCTGAATCATCTGAAGAGACACAAACATGCTTGCTTGACGCACAAGATTAATTCTTGTTAGTTTTGTTCTTGTGTGTCAAGCAAGTGTGGTTGAGCTTCCGCTTACCATATTTGATGTGCATGATGTATGCATGCATGTTTATCAGTGCTTATATGTGAGTAAAAGTCTAAATCTGTTCTAAATCTAAAACTAAATCTGTTCATCATATAAAGTGTTCATGTCTCTTTAGAAGACTTGGATTAATATGGATTCATATGGATTACTTTAACGATCTTTTGAACTTTATCAAGCATCAAAGTTTTGGTGGAAAGAACCTTAAATGGAAGGTCAGAAATCGCTCAGGTTTCATCAAAAGTATCTTCATTCGTGTTCTGAAGATGAACCAAGGTCTTCAGGGTTTGGAACAACTTGAGGGTAAGTAGTTAATTTTCTTTTTTGGACGAACTATCCCTTTAATGTGCTTATGTTCCTTGCAAAACCTGTGTCATTCAATAAACTAGACATTTTGTGGGTTTTAACACTTTCTTAGGGTTCTCAGTGGTTCACTGGAATATGAGTGCTACAGACAAACCCAGACCCCTCTAAGGCAAACTGATCTTGAGAGTTTTGGCCATTGCATCACATGTCTTTTCTTAGTGTCTAGCACCTTGTACTGCGTGTTTATCCCTTTCTGTTTTTTACATTTGGATAGTGTGTTTGCATTGTGAGGTGTCTTGCCTCGAATACAAGCTAAAAACACACAGTCCTCTGCGCTGGCTCTCGCTCAGGTCTTCCTCTCTAAAGTCGACTTTCTATTTTCTCCATCTGAGACGGAGTGCAGGAGCAATGTGACTTTGAGGGCATTATAAGTGAGTCCTGCTCTTTATGAAGATGGATGCATCCTGAGGTGCTTTAAACGGTCAGAGAGCCAGACAGCAGAGACTCTGACCTTTGTGTGTGTCTGTGTTTGGATCTGCGTGTCGCCTTTCCAAACTAGTGGTTCCTCTTTTTGAATGTATAGATTATTATTCAGATGTTTAATGTTTTTACAGCACAGAATAATCTTGCCTGTTGTAGGTCTGTAATGGTGAAAATAAGTAGTAGAAAAAGTGGGAGTGTGTATGTGTGTGTGTTTCTCACAGGGATTTAATATATAATATTAGCAAGGTGAAGGAATCGGAGCATTCTGTGTGGGTGTTTTGTACAAAGTGACAGCTCTCTGCTGATTTGACGACTACACATCTTCATTCATTTAGATTCATTTAGAAATTACTGTTCTGTCATTTACTAACCTTCATGTCATTCCAGACCCACACTACCCCTTATGAAAATTAACCATGGTTTTACCACAAATAAAACCAAAAAACCATGGTTACTATAGTTAAACCATGGTAACCACAAATTAACCATGGCTTCTTTGCTACACTAACCATAGTTTAACCATGGTATTTGTAGTAAAACTGTGGTTATACAAATGGTAATCAATACGCCAAAAAAACATGGTTACTACACTTTTACTACAATAAAACCATGGTTAATTTTCGTGTTTAAAAGATTATTTTTAAAGAAATCAAAACTTTTAGTGTAAAAGTTTGTAAATGTAAGTGTATGTAATGTAAAGTCATTTATAATCAAAAAGTTTTTGATTTCAAATAAATGCTGTTCTTTTTAACTAACTTTCTATTCTTTAGAAAATTCTAAAAAAATAAATAAAATAAAAACATGTATCATGGTTTCCACGAAAATATTATGCAGCACAACATTGATAACGATCAGAAATGTTTCTTGAGCAGCAAATCAGCATATTAGATTTATTTCTGAAGAATCATGTGACACTGAAGACATGGCTACTGAAAATGCAGCCGTGTCATCACAAAAATAAATTACTTTTTAAAATGTTAAATAGAAAATTTCACAATATTGCTGTTTTTACTGTATTTTCGATCAATTAAATCCTAAAATGCATGGATGTTTCGCCAATCATTATTACATATTCGGGTCTTTAGCGACCCGGACCTAGATATACAACACGGATGGATCTCTAACTGCTGCAATAGCATAAAACTCTCCTGATATTTTAATAACAATTACAAATGAATAAAATAAAGCATATTTTGTTACCTTTTGAAACTTAGTAGACAGATGATTTTACCATCACTGTCATCGTCAGAGCGCACTTCCCCAGTACATTCAGCATCTGCCTCATATTCACGATCTCAACCATATTCTCAAAACTTTAGTTTTCAGTGGCTTATTCACCACATCCACCATCAAATGACAGTGACACTTATATTTCATTGTGTACAGTAATTGGTCTGCAGTAAAGCCATTCAAGCCAATTCAATTTATGCTGATGATATTCTATTGTTTTATGCCTGCGGTAATTATGATTGAAACATCATGTCATCATTGTCTATTAAACAGTGCCACCTTGAGGAATAAAGGTGAATTTCACTTATTGAGTCATCAGATATTTAATTATTGTTGCGTAGGAAAAATATACTTACACTATTACATACCTTGGGTGTCAAAATCAAAGCAGCTAGTGACCCTATACATTTTTTACAAAACATCTTTTGTAATTGTTTTTTTGTTATATTGTTTATAATGAATAGATTGAGGAACAGAGTTGGGTATAACGTGTTACTGTAATCTAATTACTTTTTCTGGTAATGCAGTAATGTAACGCATTACATTTTAAATTTGTGTAATTTGATTACAGTTACTAAAGTCAATATAATTAAGTTACTTGCGTAACAAATGTAGTGTTAATAAAAAAATATATTTATATGCCTTTTAAAATCACGTTTTGCACGGGGTCGACGGAGGCGCCAGCACGATCACTTGCATTTTTTCCTGATAACAGCGAAATATAACTTAAAATGCTCCGCCATTTTTGATCGTACATATAAGTGTAATACATAATTTTAATCTGTGAAGGGTCTAGTTTTATTTGTGTGCACTCACAATATCAACAAAAGATTGTGCTTTTGTAAAATAAAAAAAATAAACAAGGTGCGCTTTCAGCCGTCTCAGTCTCCGCGAACTTCTTTCTGAAACGTGTCATTAAAATGAACCAAAACTCAGAGAATACTTCACACACAGACATGAGAAACATATCTAGCTTGAAGTGTCTACTTTTAAATGAAGTCTTATCTAAAATAAATATTCTCTGATGAAGTAATCCGTATGAAACCAACACGAGGTCCAGTCTTTCCCGTCTGAGCTCATTATCTGTAACGTGAACACGCCCACGCGCAGCGCGCGCTATTCATACGGTAATCATCCACGTGAGGCATGCGAGCCTGTAC